TTTCATGACTTGCCTTTAGAAGCCATGGACATTGAAAATGCGATTATGTTAGGTTCGCTGGCTGGTGAAGTCTGTTTGGTTGAAGATTTGAGAAGAGGTGAATTGCTGATAAGGAATTTCTTGCGTGCTAGGGTGATGATTAACTTGTGAAAGCCTCTAATTACTGGATTGTGGACTCTGCGACCAGGCAAAGATCCTGTGTGGATCAAGATTAGATATGAACGTTTACAGAATTACTGTTTTCACTATGGAATAATAGGACATGATCAAATAGGATGCAACTGAGGTGAAGATGCTGAGGACAGAATTTTAGAAGTAGAGTATGGAAATTGGCTTGGTGTCCCTAATGCAAGACCAGTTGAGAATGCAATAAGGAGGTGTAAGGATGGATGGGAGCAGTACAAAGAAGGAAGTAAGATTAATATATGTGAGCTTATTGAAGCTCCCAGCACTAAACCAGATGAAGTTGAAAATTTTGAAAACATCTAATAAAAAGCTTCTGATGAGATCAAAATAAGTGACAAACATGAGAAGACTATAAAGGAGGAAGTTAGGAAGGTAGAGAGGGAGACTACACAAAAGTATGAATCCGAGAAGAAGGATACAGTAGCTAAGCAAATGGCAACTGAAAGAACTAATGAAGAGAAGTCTGGTTCTAATGCTGACACTGGTATCCAAAATGATGATCCACCACTGAATAGCAAAGAAGGTTTTTCTAAGGTCATTGTTCTATATGGAAGCAATTCCCCGATGATTGAAGTGACATGGGGAATAAATAGGATAAAATTAAAAAGAAGTTTAGAGGATGTTGAAGAGGAGACACAAAGGAAGAAGCGAAGACTACTTTTTGATGAAGTAGGGGAGAGCAGTGGAATCAAGAAGCTGGTGGTTACATCAACCACAGGTAGGAAAAACATGAGACTACTAAAGAAACAATCTAGAAAGGCTTATGGTAGAAAGATTAGAGGAATTGTGATCCAAGAGGCTGCTGATATGAGCAGAGTAACTGAGAAGGAAGTTAAAGAGATGTGTAGTTTGCTTGCTGAGGGTTTAGGTGGCTATCCTTCAACAGCTACCCAAGAGCAATGAAGTTCATATCCTAGAATTGTCAGGGCTTGGGAAGGGCCTTGACAATAAATAAATTGAGGGATGAGTGCATGAAGTTTAATCCTTCAGTTATCTTCCTAATGGAAACAAGAATGCATACTAGTAAGATCCAGTGTTTGAGAAGAAGGTACAGGATGGAAGAAGAATTTTATGTAGATCTGAGAGAGAGGAGTGGTGGCTTGGTGTTATGGTGGAAACTGGATGTTACTGTGAATGTATGTTACCATTCCAAAAATATTATTCATGTGAGCCTTGATTCTTCGACTATGCCAGTGCCTAGGTATATGACCTGTGTATACAGGGCACCCGTAATGAAGAGAAGATGGCTGTGTGGAATAAGATGAGAAGCATTGGTGCTAAAATAAATGATTCTTGGATCTGTAATGGAGATTTTAATGATATGCTTTTGAATTCTGAGAAAGTGGGAAGAATTCCAGCAGATATAAGAAGAATTATGAACTTCCAATGTATGCTTACAGATTGCCAACTTATGGACCTGGGGTTTCATGATGCTTGGTATACTTGGTGTAATAGAAAATTGGGAACTGATCATGTCAAGAAACGGATGGATAGGGCTTTTGAGAACACTGATTTCAGAATGACTTTTCAGAAGGCTGCGATACTACACAGTGAATCAGTGGGATTTGATCCTCACATGCTTGTTATTGACTATGATTACAGATATGTGAAGGTCCCAAAATTATTTAGGTTTGAGGTAGTATGGGTTGAACATGAAGATTTTCCACCTATAGTTCACAGAGGTTGGAGAATAAGAGAGGGGATTGGAGGAGCTAGTGTTGATGATATCGCAAACAGACTCAAAAATTGTCAAAAAATTTTGTTGGGATGGAGTAAAGAAGCTTTTCCAAATGCAAAGAAGCTGATTGAGAGTTTAACTTTGAAATTCTCTGAATGCAATAGTGGAATCCCTGATGAAGCTAGGAGAGAAAAGGCAGAGTCTTTGCTGAAATAGATTGAGGAGGCTTGGGAGAGGGAAGAGAAATACTAGTGGCAAAGGTCAAGAATTAATTGGCTTTCTATAGGAGACCAAAATACAAAATTTTTTCACTCGTGTACTATCCAGAGAAGAGTGAGGAATAAGGTTGTTAAGCTGAAAGGGGAAGATGGTGAGTAGTTAGAGGATGAGAAAGATATAAATGATGCATTCTTTAAGTTTTACTCTGAGCTCTTTACTTTAGGTGGTAGAAGGAATATGGAGGAAGCTTTAGTTTCTGTTAATAAAACAGTAACTGAAGAAGATAATAAAATGTTGCAAAAAGTTGTCACAATGGAGGAAATTAAGCTGGCTGCTTTTCAATTGGATGGGACAAAGGAGTCGGGTCCTGATGGTTTCTCTGGTTGTTTCTACCAGGCAGCATGGGGAGAAATAAATGGTGAATTAGTTGAGATGATAAAAGATTTTTTTGATCACAATGTAAGTTTGCAACCTATTAATAAAACTAACATTGTATTGATCCCAAAGGTTAATATTGCAGAAAAGGTTAGTCAATTTAGTTCAATAGGCCTTTGTAACTTTGTTTACAAGATAATTTCCAAAGTGTTAGCCAAAAAATTGAAACTGCTGTTAATGAGAATTATTTCTGAGAGTCAGAGAGCCTTTGTGGTTGAAAGGTTGATCCAGGATAATATAATAGTGGCCCAAGAAGCCTTTCATTGCTTGAAAAACAAAAAGAAGGGTAGGGAAGTGGAAATGGCAGTGAAGATAGATATGAATAAAGCCTATGAAAGGCTAGAATGGTGCTTTATTGAGGCAGTAATGAGAAGAATGGGTTTTAGTGAAACTTGGATTGGATGGGTGATAGAATGTGTTAGTTCTGTCAGTTTGGACTTGATGGTGGGGGGAAGAAATATAGCTGATCTTAATATGGAAAGGGGCATTAGACAAGGGGATCCTTTGTTTCCTAATCTCTCCATCATTGTGGCTGATGTGCTCTTAAAAATGGTCCAATGGCATGTAGATAATAAAAAGGCTACATGGAATAAAGCTTGCAAATCAGTGCCCAGTAGTGTCTCACTGCTTTTTTGCAGATGATGCTATCTTTTTCATTAATGCAAGGAAGTAGAATTGTAGGGTGCTGAAGAAGATTTTTTATGTTTATTGCAATGCTTCAGGTTAGGCTATTAATATGGAAAAATCTTGTGTCTTCCTCTCTAAAAATGCAAATGAAACTCAGAAAAAAGATGTGTATGATGAACTGGGAATCAAAGCAAATACAGATCGTGGGGAGTATTTGGGACTGCCTTTACTATGGGGAAGGTCGAAGTCCCAGGCCCTAGCCTTTGTGAAGAACAAATTGGGCAGTAAATTGCAAGGGTGGAAACAGAAGTTTCTGACTTTTGCTGGGAGAGAGATTTTGATCAAAGCTGTTGCTAATGCTATTCCTATTTTTCCCATGTCTTGCTTTAGATTTCCTAAGAATTTTTGTAGAGAGCTTGATGGATTGGTTTCAAGGTTTTGGTGGGGGGTAGAGAGACGAAAAAGGAAAAATTCATTGGAAGTCTTGGAAGTCTCTAGGTGCTTCTAAGATGGAAGAAGGATTGGGATTCAGAGACTTGGAGCTGTTCAATCTTGCTTTGCTGGCAAAAACACCCTGGAGGCTTATACAAAATCCTGAGGACTTTTGGTGCAGGATCTTAAACTAGTTATATTTTGCAGATTGTGATTTCCTTAATGCAAAAAAAAGGAAATAAAGCCTCCTAGTGCTGTCAAGTATTTTGGAGGGTAGGGAGTTGTTGAAGGAGAATTTGTGTTGGAAGACTAATGATGGTGGAAGTGCAAAAATTTTCTCTGATAGATGGCTGCCATCTGTTGCAGGTTTGTAAACTGAGAGGTAGAACACTGGAGGAGGATAAAAGAGATTTATATGTGAAGGCTTTAATTGTTAATGGAGGGTGGGATTTTACATAAGTTGAAGGAATTTTGAGTGATGAAGAAAAAGCCGGTATAAATTTGTGTCAACTTTTGTGTGCACAGATTTCATAAGCATTGGAACTACGACCTCTTACCAATTCTACTTATCTAACTCCATCTCCTCCTCAATCATTATTAGTCCTTGATATGAGAGTCGATGTTGGTTCCCCTCAGTGGACTTCAATCTTGTTTACAAGGTACGTCTAATCTTATTTGTTGTTAATGTTTTGACTTTTTCATCATCTAGCTCTTTATTTCCATGAATTCATGCTTTCCTAATACTATTTCCGGTTCTTACTATAAGACCTAGTTGATTAATTTGAGAAAACTAAGAAAGCTAAATAAATTATTTAATTATAACACATGTTACACAATCTCTCTAAAATACTAATGCATATCATTAGATTTATATATCAATAATTAATAAGTCAAGCAAATTAGTTTGAAGAAAAAAAGGTAAATATAAATACTTTAAATTAATTTATTTAACTTGATCAGTCTCTGTATATTAGTTAATTGATTGGCTTTTATATTAAGGACTGGAAGTAGCATGTGGAAGCAATTATAAATTTATATGTCTGATACTGGGAGAATATAGGTTTAGGGGTGACATCTATGATCGCATTTGGCGTGTGGACGATATTTTTGTACATAAAGGTTTGGGAAATGTTCAATAGGTCAGAAGATATTATTGATGTTGTTGGAAGCATAAACAATTCTTACAAATTACCGAAACAAGTGCTTATGTCTCCGACCAAATCAATTAATCTGTTCTTTGCTTTAAGCCTTGACTATGACTATATCTGGACGACACCACCTGAAAAGTCTTTCAAATATTATGTCCACTTTCACTTTGTTGAAATTGAGGAGCTTCCCTCTCGGAAAAAGGGAGTAATTGATATTACTGTTAATGGTGAAAATATCAACTCAGAGCCAATAACTCTTGAATACCTAAAGCCAGTGACAGTTAGTAATGTTACAGATCAAGATGGTCTTCGTTTCAACATAAGTGCAACATCAGAATCTGATGCTCCTCCAATCCTTAATGCCCTCGAAACTTATAAATTCATATCGCCACTAACACCTCCAACTTACCGAACAGATGGTATTATAATTCCTCAACCAACTATTTTCTATTGTTGTCTCATGATCTCTGAGTCTATTGGCCTTGACTTCTGAGACCATATTTATTATTGATAACAATATAGCGGATGCCATTCGGGACATAAAAGAAACCTACGAAATCTACAAAGTAGAGTGGCAAGGTGACCCATGTGTTCCGGAGGAATTTGAATGGCAGGGACTAAGTTGCATATATGACATCAATAACTCTAATCCCAGGATTTTCTCACTGTAAGTATCTGTTTTCACTCTTGTTGAATTACAGTAAACATTCCCTAGAGTATCTCACTGTAATTATCAGTTCCACTCATTCCAAAATTTTGGCTTGTTTGACACTTGACAGTAAAATTGACTTGAGTTAATTTGATATTAATTATTCAAAATATAATCATCAATCATGTAAGCTATATACCACTAGAAACTTCACCCATCTCCTGTGCCTGTGTCTATATATTAATCATTATCAAAAGCAGAAACTTGAGCACCAGCAACTTAAGAGGACAAATAGCTGCTTCTTTTTCACAACTTACAGAGTTAGAATCCTTGTAAGTATATAAATAATAATTTCATCAGGACAAAATCCCAACTATAATTAAGAATTTTGTCAAATAAAATGCTGCTTTTGTTTTTGGGATTTATCAAGAAACGGCCTGTCAGGACCGATACCGGAATTTCTTGCTAAATTGCCAAAGTTGAGAATCCTGTAAGTTTTACAAAATGCATTAATATTTTTTCAATACCTGATATATGTTCATAACTTGAAGACCACATGCTAATTGAATGCATTTCACAATGTTTTTTTTCCCAGTAATTTGAGTGGCAACAAGCTTACAGGTTCAATTCCTAAGGCTCTTAAAGAAAATTCAGATTTGGAAATGAGGTTTCTCATCTTAATTTGCTCTCCTATCTATGACTGTCTTTTTTTTTAATCTTAAATTAAACTAATTAAAATCAGCTTACAATTATTATTTTAATGTGATGAGAGTAATGTATATTTTACATTGGCTCTTGCTCTTTTTGAGGCTATTGTTGGAAAAAAAAATTTTATAATTATTAGATAAAACTCAATAAAGTTACCGACTCAAATTTAATTTGTGATTCTAATTATACCCACATTATTTGACTTATCTTTCAGTTTGGATGATAATCCTAGTCTTTGTTGGAGGGATCCATGCAAAAAACACAAGTTCCTTATTCCACTCATAGCATCTGTTTCAGCTTTGACGGTTGTAATCTTGATTTCTCTAGGAATATGGATCTTCAAAATGAAAAAACTCAAAGGTGAGCACAGAATGCTACAACATGTAGTTTGTATTATTATATATGAGCTAATATAACTTGTTTCCTCTGCATAGAAAAACACTATCTCCAGTGTTTTTTTTTTTTTTCAATGAGCACTATCTTGGTCTGTAATATCAGACTCAAAGTATTTATATTTATTTTTTTAAAACTAATTTATTTTATTTATAAACTGATATACATAAGTATTTCAAACGAATTATGTAATATATACTATAATTAAGTCGTTTGTTTAGCTTCCATGATCTCTCTAAATTAGTAAATTGAACTTTATATTATTTATGCACTCTGAACTACAGTTCTGATTATTTTAATTAATATTTGCAGTTTATAGAAAGAAAGAAGCATCAGAACTAAGAAATCGTGCTTTTTCTTACTCCCATGTCCTTGAGATCACTGATAACTTGCAAAACTTGATTGGACAAGGGGGATTTGGAAAAGTCTATTTAGGCACCCTTAAGAATTGCACTCAAGTTGCAGCGAAGTTACTTTCTCATTCATCAGTTCAAGGTCATAGAGAATTTCGATCAGAGGTGAAATATCCAAATCTATTAGTCTTATTTCGTTGCCTTATTTTGTCAGATATTTAATTACAAACATAATTTGATCTCCATTCGTTCCTTATTTATCATATAAATGATAAAGTAAAATTTGAATTGCAGGTAGAACTTTTGATGGTTACTCATCATAGACATTTAGTTTTTCTGATTGGATATTGTGAAGAAAGTGGCGTCAGAGCATTAATATATGAATATATGGTTAATGGGAACCTCCACCATCATTTATCAGGTATAAAATTTTGCTTTCTATATTTAGCATATCATAGCAATCTAGCCAATATGTTAGAACTAAAATATCTATAATAAAATTTATTACAAGGGTAGTAGATGTAATTTATTTCTTAAATTTCAAGGATTGCACAAGATAATGTATTTATTAATATATTATAAAAAACTATGATGACGTGGTACTTTTTTAATATATAAATAAGAGTCCATAAATGCATTCTTTTAAAGGCACAGGCAAAAGAAATCTAATCATACTGATTCTACAGGTAAGAAAGGAGGCCAATTGAAATGGAAAGATAGGCTTCAAATTGCATTGGATGCAGCGTATGGTAAGAAACAAATCATATACGATATTCTAGTTAATTGTATATAAAAATAAATAAATTACATTTAGTAACAATTTCTTTTTCAAATGACTTAACACAATGATTAAAAATTATGTCATTCTTTACCAAATGAGATTATTAATACTCCAACTGGAATTGGGATTCATTCTTTCTCTGATAGTTTCCTTGGTGATACATATAATGAACCGATTTGCAGGATTGGATTAGTTGCATAATGGTTGCAAACCTACAATTGTACATAGGGACCTTAAGGCCTCCAACATTTTGCTGGACAAGAATATGGAGGCTAAAATCGCTGACTTTGGATTATCTAGAGCTTTTGCAAATGATATTGATAGTCATGTTTCAACTCGTCCTGCCAGAACACTTGGTTACCTTGATCCTCAGTGAGTATTCTTATTTATAGAATATATATTTTTTTCATCAGCATATTGGCATAGTGTAATCCATATAATTGACTCCATCTATTGCAATATTGCTTTGTTTATTTCTCGTCAACAACGAAAACTCATAAAATTAGTTTAAGATTGCAGATAAGAAAATCAATCCATTACAATGAGAATTGTAAATGAACACTAACTTAAATAGGAGTACAATTAATTAATCACATTTTAATACATCAATTTTTTTTTACAGTATGAATTATATATAGACAATGATTATAAATTGAAGTTTTATTTAGAAATTAAAGAACTCTAAAAGGGAAGAAAATTCTCAATGAAATTCGTTTTGAATTTTTCAAACTCAATTTGAATGTATATGATTGAGTACAAAAATATTAAATGGAGAGATATATCTTGAGATCTATCTAACAATTGTTTTTTTTTTTCTATTTTTCCTTGTAATAATAACAAATTTCAAAATTCTGGAAACCTTACAAAAGGGAGTGATGCCTATAGTTTTAGAATAATTCTGCTGGAACGGGTGACTGGAAAACCAGCAGCAAAAAGACAACCAAACAATACCTTCATTCTTCTGCTTGAATGGGTCACCCCTAAACTTGGAAGCAAGGATATCCAGTCCATTGTTGATCCAAGGTTACAGGGACAATACAGTGTTGAATCTGCTTGGAAATTTCTTGAGATAGCCAAGTCATGTACCGCACCACTCGCAATTCAGAGGCCTGGTATAAGCCAGGTAGTAGTTGATCTAAGGGAATCTTTGGCAATGGAGATAAGAATGGAAGGGACCAATCAAAACACCCATTCAAGCAGTTCCTTGGATATGAGTGCTAATTTGCAAGTGGAGTCAAACTTTAGTGCTCCGTCTGCTAGATAGATAGATACTTGTTTACATTTCGAATTTAATTAATCGCTCCGAAATGCAAACAGTTACTATTTCTAATATGTTAAACGTTACTTGTGTTGTTGCCTATGAAATGTTTTGTCTCGGTCGAAATCTTATTCTTCTATTTGTATTGGTCTAATTCTTTACTTAAAATTGTATTTCTATAAAACTCAGTAGACGTTGACTCTATCGTACGTGTTCCTTTACCTTTGTTCCTAGAAATCTCAGAGACTGCGAAGTTTGAGTTTATTCGTTGTTATTCATTTACTCTTATTTCTCTAAGGTGAAACTTTGGTTTACTCTAATTAGCTATTCGCTTACTAGTGATTACACAATATTCAAGAGCATATATGCACGTTATGCTTATCTAAGAGTATCTTTTACTCAGATATTCATGACTGTTGTGTTACTGTTTATGCCAAGCACATTTAATGCTTCATCTAACAGCTAATTTGGATAATATATATAATATCTAAATCTTATATCTAACCACTAGGTGCTCAGAAAAACTATAAATAGAAGAATCATTCAAGGTAAGAATTTATGACCACTAAGTACTGTAACTCTTTTTTTTAGCCTATTTCATGAAATCTAAGCGTTCCCAATTACCAATAGATTGCACACATACATTTGTGAGGTTTCATAATTATTCTGATTATAAGGATCTTATCTCATTTGTATCCTTAGAGATACTCAAGGTTAGAATAAATCTTGAGGGGATTAAATTACTCTAAGAGCTGATCAAGTTGTTGCTAGAGCCCAGTTAATCAAGCCAGAATAATAAAAAATCCTGAACGAAGAGTTTAGGAACTGAACGTAAGCAAAAATATTCATGCATTTTATACCCATACATCGTATGAAGAAAGATGTCTACTTAGGAATAAAAGATAAAAAAAAATAGACTGAGTTCATGACATTCCACAGTAGCATTCAAATTTTTTCCTTTTTATAACTAGCATACACCAAAGGGAAAACCATCTAATGTAGTGATCACAAGTTTTCAGTATTACATAAACAAGATCAATCTTCAGATCTTCACACCAAACAAATAAAATAAAAAAAAGGGCTTTAACCCTCAAACAAGTCTGATGAAATGGACTTTAGCACAATATATAAACCACTGTAAATTAGCATCTAAATAGTTGAGGGGTTGGTCATTGAATCAAACCGTTCAATGTGACTGCTTGGATAGCTTGACATAATATTTGATTTGGCATGATCCATCTCCAGATCTAAACAACCATTTAGTTCTTGTAGCACGAAAACTGTGTCCGGCCTTTGTTTGGTCTCTGGTATAACACATGACATTGCTATCTCAACAATTTTCTATGCAGAAACAACATGGAATGCACCTTCCAACCTTGGATCAACAATGCGATGTATGTCCCCACATTCAACGTTAGAACGAATCCAATCAATAATATAACAAATACTTCCAACTTCTCTTCTTATTGGAGGACGACCTGTGATTAGTTGAAGAAGAATCATCCCAAAGCTATAGATGTCGCATTTTTTAGTTATGATTCCAGACTTCTGATATCTGCAATAATGTAATGGGATATAATCAGTCACTGTACATTAATTGTTGGGTTTTTTTAGTGATAATGTGCTTATGTTAAAAAAAAATTTCCATCAATTTGCGACTGTGTGGATCAAAAATTTCAGAACCACAAAAAACAATACCAGCTCAAATCCTTAATATCAGAGCTACTTGGAGTTGAATTTGGTTCTCATAAATATAAGACATTAATCTACTTTGTCTCCCAAATGTAATAATTCTTGCCCTCCCAAAAAGTGTCCCAATTGATTGTACATACTAAACAGTTTCCCTGAAAGGGTAGTTCACAAGCATATGACCAAAGAAGGTAGTTTAGGAAAGCTAACATACATTTGTTACAAATAACTAATTTAAATAGCCAACTTAACTAATCTTATTATCCCTGAATTAATTAAGAAATATAATTTAATGAATATTTCTTCATAAATGAAATGCAACCACTTACTCAGGATCAATAAAACCCGGTGTAACAGCTAGCTGAGTTGATAGATGAGAATCTCTTTCATTTATGAATGCTCTAGTCAATCCAAAGTCGGCAATTTTGGCAACCATGAATTTGTTTAGTAAAATGTTGGATGGCTTCAAGTCTCTATGAATTATGGGAGTCTTACAACCATTACGAAGATATTCCAATCCTGCAATTACATCATGTCATACAGGGGAAGACTAAAGTTAACTTCCCTTAATTGTCGCTTTGGGGTTACTCCAAAAATTAACCGAATTAATGCAATATAGTGCACAATCCAGGTCGTATTCACTTTAAGGAGCCGAAAATGAAATTAAATCCTAGTAAATAATTGCAAGTAACCTAAACTATAAAAGGAATTTTTGATTTTGAAAAATTGCTAATTAAATGCCTTGAATTAAATTGAAATTAAAATACTTTTTTTTGTTTTTATATAAAAATGATTAACATGAATGAAGATTAAAGAAATGAAAATGAGACACACAAATAACAATAATAATAATCAATCCTCCAATTCAACAATATAGGCAATCATCACTCTAAAAGATGTGGGAGTTAAAACAATGAATTAAGAATTATAATTAAGCTTGTAATCCAACAACCGAGCCACCTCGAGTTGCCACAAAATATTTTTCTAAAATCCCAACTTACAAACTGCAACCAGAATAGTAAAATGGGATTAAGGATGCTAAAAACCAATGCTTAATTAGAACTCTTAAATCCAAAATAACAGAATTAAAGCTAGCAAGAGACAATATGATCCAAAATTCCAAGCCACCTCAGAAAATCACAATATATTAACTCCAAAATCAATACAAATGTCATAACCACAACATCATAATTGAAATCAAAGCTATAAACAGCCCAATGTCAAATGCTAAACAATAATCCAGTCACAATAATCCCCAAATATAATCAGATTAAGCAATACAATTATCCCAATAATCAGAAAAACTATCCTAAGACCTAGGAATTGTTAAACAATTATTGAATAAGAAATTAAAGCAACTAAAACTCTCCTTTGATGATCCGAACTCCTGCCATTATTGTTGAATTAGAGGATTTCAGAGCTCTAGCCACGCATAGCCATGAAAAATGCCACAATCAATGCTCTTTTGCGGTTTGCCATGGAAGATATGTGACGGAACAGTGCAAAAGATGATTAAGGATGACACCGTGAGCCTCTGTTTTGCTGTTTCACTCCTTCTGGTTCACTGGTTCATCGAGCTCGTGCCGTCGCTGGTTCTGTGGTTGCGCTGAGAAGAAGAAGGGATGAAGACGATGGTGATGAAGGGAGGTTGCCCCTCTACCGTCGCTCAGCGTCTCCGTCTTGTGTTCGTGCTTCGGTCCCCTGTTTTTCCCAGCCATCGTCCCGCGCGTGTGTGTGTTTCGTTCTCTGCTCGTTCGGCGTGTTTTTCTTCCGAGTCCCCCCTATGATGAATGTAATATTAGATATTAGGGGTGGAGCAAAACACAGCGTTTTGCTCCCCCCCTTTTATTATTATTATTATTTTTTAATTTATTTTTTCTTTTCTTTTCTTTTGATTTTTTTATTTTCAAAATTTTCCAAAAACCTGCAAGCAAAAATTCAAAGATAAGGTAGCATTAATTGTCCTCAAAAAATCAATTAGTCACAATTAAACCAAAATATGACAATTTTGCCCCTATAAAATAATAATTCAAAATAAAACATATTAAATCAATTAATCAATTAATTAAGGTCAAAAGGGACTAATTAAGTTGACAAAACCCATATAAAAGATATCAAATATATAAAAATAATTGAGTTTGTCAACTCCCCCACACTTAGCCTTTTGCACTCCTGGGCAAAACATCATTAAAGAAGAATCCAATAGAGACACTCAATGCAAGCAAACATAAAACTAACTAAGCATGAATGTGCAATTAACTCAAGCAACCTTTATTCTTAATTAATCAACAATCATAAAATACTTCAGTGCAAAGAAATTAACACAAGAAACATAGCAGGATATAAGAAGAGAAACATAATAGAACTCACATATGGTACAAGTGTTTCACTCATCTCTCAAATGGGAAAAATTTCACTC